ACAGATACACCATAAGCAAGATCGGAACCACCTGTGAGCCCGACTGGTGAGAAACGAGCCTTCTCCTCTCTGCGTGTGGGTTATGGGTTCGGCATTTCTTTCTATGGTTTGTGTGATTTTTGACATCATCGTCAGTGCTTAATTGTGCTAAAAACTAAATCTTATTCATCTTCATTGTATTTGGGTGGAAGCAGTTTCAGACCGCGACATTTCCAAATCCTGCCACAAACGGAGGAGTTTGATTTTTATTACAGAAGAAATCCGTCTTTTAATCCGTCCAAAGTGCGTTTACTTATCGTAAATGGACGCAGGAACATTTTTTTTCTTTTGTTAAGCAGTAAAATAATTTAAATTATATTTTTTGTGTTCTTTTAGTGTTTTTTTAGTGTTCTTCCACCAGTTAACAACATACCTGTTTAAATAATATTTGAGGATTAAATTTAGGCATGATCGAGATCAAGCCCGCTCTGATTGACAGGTAGCTGGAGCCTCGAGTCGCGAGGGGGCGCGACCGGGGCACTCGGCGGTCTGCAGGCGGCGCCGCAGTGGGAGGAGAAAACGTGGGAAACTAAATAAAATCGCAAAAGTGGCCAAAGGCATGAAGGGTTACGCGCTGAAGACAGCGAGAGTGAAGCAAAGTTCATTCTTGATATCTATAGATTCCTTTGACAAAACCATCCCAACTCCAGCAAGCGTCTGGTCTGCTGCAAAAGGAGTTTTTCAGCCTGCAAATGGCAATTTGGCGAAAAGAAAAATACCAACTCAGACAAAATAAGCTTGAAAACGTGTTTTTTTGGAGGTTGACCATTGAATTCGATCCCTTCCATCTACGTTGGTGTGTAATATAATGTAGAAGAAAAAACTCAATCATTGTCTTGCTTCTTAACTCTGTAGCTCTACTAATCATCTAAACCCCCATTTCGGCACAAATGATAACACCACGTACGTCTAACCCCTCCGTCATCATCGCACCTCGGTGTTTGCACATCTGGGCCCGTGTGTTTGAATAAAGACTCGGCCCTCTTTTATCCCAAATGCATCATTGCTCTGCTGTGACCACACACGCCACCGACAGTTAGTTCCATGAACAATGTTTATCGAAACAGCTTTGTGTTTTATTTCTTTGAGGAGAATTCTGCACGAAAAGAAGTGTGTTGAACCCTTCTTAGATAAGGAGCTCAAACTTCCCATTCCTGGACACAGCACAACATCCCCCCCCCCGCTGTGCCGAGGAGGCTCTTTGTGGTTCATTCGCTGTGCGTTTGACTGATTTCACCGCGTCGTCGCGCCCCTGAGTGATTTGGATCTTTTACCAACCCTTTTTTGTCTCATTAGTGTGTAAAGTCAGAGTCATCGACACCAGGGGGAAGCAGCCGGTCGTGGTGGTTAACAGACAGAAGCAGAGCCGGGGCTCTTTGCCATGAGGACGTGACATTAATGTGCTCGGTGCCCCCCCCCCCCCGTCCCCCCGTCCCCCTTTCCTCCTGGCGGGGTGGAACATTCAGCGGCACATCTCTCCTGCCATCAAGGGAAATTTAATAGTGCTTACGGCAGCATCTCAAACGAGGCGCGTTTTCTAATTCGTGAGACAAATTGGTTTGACAAAACACGTACGTGTTTTATCATATCATTTCCTAATGGATACAAATCTGGTTCAAATCCTAAATTGGGGGTTGGATACTTAACATCCCATGTCAACCCAGACAGAAGATTTAAATTGGACGATCCTGCAAAACCCTGCAGATCGTATTAACATTTTCGGCCACCTGCTACCTGCTAATATCTCATTTAACGCCACAGACTTGACCGGGCAATTCATCATCCACGTCACGCTTTCGTTCAGCAACTAAAAGTCTTGTAGTTGCATAAATCATTGCACCCTCCGGTCTCCAGTATGAAGGGTTGAAGATGCAACACGTCACCGCAGCGAGGGGGAGACTACTTCCTGCGTTGGCACGGCAACGTCATGGACCGATGCGGAGTGTTTCACATCAAGCGCGCTCGAACAATGAAACTTCATCCTGTCAAAAAGCGAAAGGAGGACTTTTTGAAACCCGTTGTGATGGAATATCATCGCGGACTGCAGACCCCCCCGGGACTGGACAATCCCCGTCCTCTGCGATACCCTCTCTCTTTATCAGCCGCGCCGTAATCGCTAATTCACACGTGGCTTTTTCCCTTTGTGAGAGACCCCGCGGCCCCGCAGGCATCGAAGCGATCGCCGCGCGCCGCTTCTCCATCGATTGCACCGGCCTCGAAGCCCGAGGAAGAAAAATGAAGTGAAAGTGGGTCGGCTGAGGGGGGACTTTTGGTCTTTTTAGGTCCGTCTGCTTGTTTAGCTGCAGAGTGTGAAAACCTGTCAGCCATTCTTTACCCTTTAGCTCCACTGTGCAGCCTATTACCAGTGTAATCAAGAACCTTACAGAGGGACCTGTCACCGCCTCCCACCGGATGACAGATCCCGCTGCCAAATGGAATATCGGCCACATACAATGTCCCTTTTTATGAAACGACCCCATGCGTTTTCCCTCTGAAAAGACTAAAAGGGGCCCGGTTGACTGAGCGGTAATTATTGACTCAGCGGCACGCGCATCGATGGATGTTGCACAGGTTAAGTGCTAATAATTGTTGATGATTGAAGGGGGACACAGACATGAGAATATCTGTGTCTTTTTGGTTTTCGCGAGGGAGACGTACCTGAGCCCGTGTGCGTGCGAGCGGTGCACCTGTCTAATCTCCGGCTGTCAGTTCTAGTCTAACGGGCGTAGCCGCCCGGTGAGGACAGCGGGTGTCACGCACTGTGTCTATTATCTGTCACCGCAACATCTGGCGCAGGAGTGATGTGCTCCTCGTCTGCTTCTGTTTCCGCTTTGTGGTTGTTTTTTTTAAACGCAGCCTGCCGGAAAAGAAATGAAGCAGATGGGTTTCTGCAGGGGCTGTTTTCAATCAAGCAGAGAGAAAGGCAGAAAATCAGAGCCAAACTAAATCCCAACAGCCTACTGTATCTCCTGGAAGGCTCGGTGGCGAGCGAGCAGACCCGACCGCCGTGATATCCCGGCGAGATCGTTCTCAGGCTCCAGTGATGGAGCGGCAGGAGCGACAGGAGGAGAACGAACGTTTGGTCTCCGGAGAGACGAAAAGTTGGACCCCCCTCAGAAGTCGGGTGTGACCATACTTTACCTTTAGGGCAACCACGACACACACGGAGAGGGGGTGGGGGGGTGGGGGGGGGGGGGTGGATTCGGAGGACAGACCCTTACCGTGTTCTCGGTGAAATTGTAATCCAGGGAGTACTGTAATTTGCCCAGTTTCTGCTCCCTCTTGGGCTCCTCCTCTTTCTCCGTTTCCGTCAGCCCTGTTTCCGCCTCCTCCTCATCCTTCAAGGCCTGAAGGAGACACCCACCAAGAGTCAGTGTCGCCCGTTTGTCGCCGGCGCTAGCACGCAGCCAGCCGTTCCCCCGCCCAGGTCCTTGCCACCGGACCTACGCCTGTAAAAGCTGCTACTGGTTTTATGGTGCCATAAAGGGGAGGGGGGGAGGGAGAGGGGGGGGGGCAAGCACTAAAACAACATAGCAGTTAACAGCAGGACATGCTCTGTGATGCAGTGAAGCGCCGGGCCTGTTCCCCTGAAGACGCTCCTCAGTCTGTGGACGTTTCTGTTCTACGGGGAGGGGAGGTGGGGGTCGCCGATGAGGAGGAAAGAGGGGAGCGCGAAGAGGGCGGGTAAAAACCCGTGGGGGGGTGGGGGGGCGACTCCAAGTTCTCCAAATGGAGCCATCAATTTTTTCTCCTTTCTTTTAATTCGGGGCCGTCGTCCCGAGGGGGACGTCCCGTGATGGGAGGAACATTTGACATGTGAGCGGGGGTTTGTATTGCTATAAATCCTGACTCGGGTGCAACGCTGGTAAAGAGACACAGGGAGAGGACAGCCGGGAGAGAGAGAGAGAGAGGGAGAGAGGGAGAGAGAGGGAGAGAGAGGGAGAGAGGGAGAGAGAGGGAGAGAGGGAGAGGGAGATGCCTTCATGTTATTTCAGGCAGATGAAGTCGACTAAGAGCCCTGGCACCGAGGCAAAGGAAGCAGGGGGAAGCATTGGTGGTGCGGGGGAGGAGTGGCGTAGGGGGGGGGTGGTGGGGGGGGGGGGGGGGGGGTGTAAGAGTTTGTTATAAGACCAACATGCAATTGAAGAGGCAAAGAGAAGCTCTCAAGGTCATTCAGCGTCAAAAGTTGCCTTTCGTCAGGCATGCAGAGCATTCTCTGTGGGACAAACCAGTGCTCTCGGGTGATTTCCCCCATTCTCCCCAAGTGCTGCCCCCCACCCCCCCCCGCCCGCCCCAAGACACACAGTCGCATTGTCACCGTCACCCCTTCGAGCTGCTATGTGACCCCCCCCCTACGTTGATGGTAGCTAGAAGCATCATGCCAGCAGTGGGTGGGTGGGTGGGGGTAACAGGGGTCGTGATGTACATCCTCACTTTGTCAAGTCGATCGTGTGGAAGCAGAACGGATGAACAACGCTGATTGTCTTTCGGTTAATTTTACGCCGAGCCCCTTTTGTCTTTGGCCTCTTTGGGAGGAAATCTGAATAGAGGGTTTTTTAGTCAAAGTGAAATGCACTAATGTGTCAAACGTGTGAGTTTGTATGATTCTAAGAGTTCGAAATCCAACGTCTGCCGCAGGAAACCTACGATCTGTCTTGACGCGTGTAAATGGGAATGCGACTGTACGTCAAAGGCTCCCCTTTCGTCGGCGCTTCCAACCGAGCGTCTGCTGGCGGAGCCTCTCAGGCGCTCGCCGCCGCTCGTTTGAAATGTAACCGTCAGATTGAAAAGGCAGGAGGCTTCAGAAGTCGGCGTGGTTCAACCGTCCTGGACGCGCACCGAGTGTCCGTTTCATTCATGCATATATGTGCGTACGCAGCTTGTACGCACATATATGCAGCAGATATACATGTACTGTATGCATAGTTACATATATTCGGTTCTACGGGAGTAAGTTGCTGTCAAGAGGCTCTAAAAAAACAAAAAACATCAGAGCAGCAGGCTTAAGAAGATCCAACAGCAATGTGGAACCTACCGCCAGTGACCATCCCGAACAGTCATCAGACACAACACAGATAAGGAGGACATAGAAGGAAGAAACACAAATTAAAACAACCACACACAGGAGTCCACAGAGTCCCACCAGGAGAAATGACCGCCTGCCTCGGGAGGGGCGCATTCACCGATCCCAGGGATTAGCCCTGACCGAAGAGGGGATGGGACGTCTTGTCCGTCGCGGAATAAATAAGTGATGAAGTGCTGAAACGTTGTCAGCCGTTTCAGTCTAATCGCAGAGGCCATTTGCAGCGTCGGGTTTGATTACATTTCCATCTGTTTATTGATCGGTGATGTCATTTCTCCGGGTGGATACCACTTGATTACACGGCAAACGCTACTCACACTCTTCGAACGTGTGAGCAGGTCCTCATTTGATAAAAAAAAAAAAAAACGAAAGAAGATTCAAATGATTCCTGTAATTAAACTGAATTCTATTTTTAAATAAACGTACATCTTTGGCAACAATTAATACATAAGATGTACAAAATGCAAAAATAGTGATGTTTTTGGTTGCCAGATTTGCAGCGACATCATTCTTACTCTGTTGGTGAAAAAGCACCTTAATGTGTTTCTGCAACTGCAAATGTGATCAATCAAATCTGCGATAGCAGCATCAGGCACTAACACATTAAATAGTAATAACAGTTGAATACAGCAAATGTGAAAAACACTAAAACTAACACAATATTAGAGATATTTACGGAGAAACTTTGGTTTAACAACGAAACGTTTGGTGTGGTGAGCGCGTTAATACAGGATTGTTTTGGGGGTTTGAAGTCTTTACCTCGGTTTTGGCTCCGTCCTTCACGTCCATCATGTTGATGGCGTTTTTGCCCTTGTCTTTGCCCTTCTTTTTGTTTTTCTTCTTGAATATCCACTTTTTGCAGACACAGAAGCAGCATGCTAACACCAGGATGATCGCCACGAAGGCGATGGAGACGATGGCCCATGACGGCACTGAAGAGAGGAGGGGGAGTGGGGGGGGGAACGTTTGGGTTAAAATAGGCCGAAACTTTGCAGAGAAGAAAGCAAATGTGATACGAGCTGACTGAGGTGAGAGGACAGTGTGTGTGCGGCCCGTCAGGAGGTGGCAGACCGCTTAACGATCGGTCCTGACCAGCAGGACGAGACCCCCCTCCCCCCCCCTCCACCCCGACCCCCTCCACCCCCTCAGGACGGCTTCAGCCAATTTAGTGGAGGTGACAGATGTTGCCATTTTTCCACTCTGCCGCTCACACAACGGTTCTTGGACAGCGGACACTTTCACTGGCAATCACCGGCAGCACGCGGGCCCGAGGTGGAGCTCGCTGCGGGGGCCTCGGCGCCGCGCCACCACGCAGAGCCGATGGCGTTTTCTGAACTTTTAGGGCAAAATAAAAAAAAACCTTGCTCAAAAATAAGAAAGTCGTTGGTTGGATTAGAACGTCAAGGTTTCTCTATTTTAAGATGTTGTGATGCCACCAGTCGTATAATCAATTCCCCCTTATTTATGTTTCTTTTCTTATTCACCGTTTACGCCGTCCACCCAAACTGAAGCCAGGGTAAGGACCGCTGAGAGGACAATGCCACCGTACAGTGTTTGTGTCCCGCTGCTCGCTGGAAGGTCAGACAGGTGCAGGTGACATAAAGAATGTCTGGGGCTTTTATTGTGAAAGGTAATAATAGAAGGAGTCCACAATAACCTTTATTCTCAGAAGGAGAAGAAAGTGCTTTTTCCCAGCGTAATATTTCTGTTCAATGGCAAATTGCAATTGAAGGTATACGTATACGAACATTCCACTATTATTACAATAGCAATTCATATATTATTAGATTAAAATATATTACATCATTGAAACATTCTGGACTTTATTTTTTGGACTTATTAAAAACAAGTATTTTCACTGCATCACAGAAAGGAAACATTTACTTTTTTAAGTCTAAAAAGTAGGTCTCTTTTATTTTTGGTTGTAAAATAAAACGCTTTTAAGACACATCGGGAGCCGGACACGCTGCTCGGCTCCATGATCAGGATGAACAGAGACCCGCGTCCTGGCGTTTCCTCCGCCGCGTGGACCCGACTGCAGAACGTTGGACAACCGGCCGGTTAACTTCGTCACCTACAGGCTGTCAGACCCCCCCGACAGCTCGCCGCAAACACGACGACACCTTCCTCGACCGCAATCAGCAGACAGCTCGTGCTCGTCGGCGCATGCACGCACGCACACACACACACACACACACACACACACACAGTGGCGGAAGGAGGAGGGGGCCGCTCTAAGTAGCAGAGAGACGACATTGAGTCCAGATGGGCTGAAAATAACGAGACCTTCGCGGCAGACTTTCTCCCTTCAGCCGCGGTAATCGCTGCTCCTTGGTTCTACTCGGCCGACAGCAAACACCTGGCGGCCCGGCCGTCTCTTAACGGAGAGGCATAACGGACAAATGAGACAGTTTGGCAGCGCGCTTTTAGAGTTGTTTCAGAGCTTAATGCCACCAGGTAGTGGGGAACATTTCGAAATAGGATCTTCTGTGATTTTTCTTACTGTAACTTTGTCACGCGAAACGCGAAACTCTCTTATTGGAAAACTGGTGTGGCTCACACAAGGCAGACGTGCTCTCCAAAGAGGATTCAAAAGGAAGCAGTCTAGTCTAAAAAAGAAAACCAAAAAGAAAAGTACTTTACAGTCCATCACTCCGGGGGGTTTTGCAGCCGCGGTTTCTCCTCCCGAGGGGGGGGGGGGGAGGAAAATCGATGCTTTGTTGACAAAATCAATAAGCACTCTCCTCCGAGGGGAAAAAAACTGTGAGCGATGCTCTGAAACAACTCACGGGTCTCCAGCCTCGGCCCGCGGCGGTGTGTGCTGATGGAGGAGACGCGGGGAGGTCCTCGTTTACGATGAGCTGCCCGCGACTGACAGCGCTTCCTTTAAGAACCCGAAACTATAACTGAGGATCGCCGGCGGTCAGCGGCGGCTTCCGGGCCTTGTGGTGGGATTAAACGTTGGATCATGCGGGTTCGCGGTGCAACTTTGCTTTGGAGGATGCTGTTCACGTCGCGCTGCTCCAGTTTCCCTTAGAGGAAGCGAACGAGAATCACTTTATAGAAGAAGCTCTTTCAGCAGAGCTCACCTCGCCGGGTGGAATTCAGCCGGTTCGCCCGGCGCGTCCCTCATCGAGTGTGCGTCGCCCGGTAAAAGGCCCTTCTGTGCTCCTCGACTAAAGGAACCCGAGTCCCAAAAGGCAATAAAAGCCTCCTCTAATTAACCCCATTGTGTGAGCGTCTCCTCTTTAATGAGACAGAGAGAGAGAGGACGAACAGAGCGAAGGAGAGCGAGTATTGGCAGCACTTCAACTCCCAGCACTTATCTCTGGTTCCGCTGAGCGGCACGGCGAGGAAACTGGAGTTTCTGTAATTGGGGCGAGTGGTGGTTGGGGGGGATTGATGGAATCCACGTTGGCTGTTGCTCAACGGTGTACAGCACCTTTATATATATGAATATATTATTATGTAGCAGAGAAGCCTCAAAATTGCATTTGATCCACTGTCAATAAACCGCGTTCACTCCCGTCGACCCAGATGAGCACTAGTTTGCCACTAGATGCCACGAGGATGGATGCCAGCGCCGTAAGAAGCCCCTCTGCTCCATATCGCCGGTAATATAAAGCACTTTACGTGTGACGCAAAGCTTTCATGAAGAGTTTGCTGGATGCATTTAAGAGGGTACGCGTGCGTGTGTGTGTGTGTGTGTGTGTAAAATACTGCATCTGGGTTATATCCACTTGCAGCAGCCCACACTAATCCAATGTGACAGGACCCTGTTGCTCAATTAACCCTGACATTAAACCTCGTTATGCTCGTGACACGCTGCCCTTTGCCCGCTGCGCTTAAGCAAACACTGCGACTGCAGCGCGGAGCGCCTCACGAGCGTCTCTGTGGGACGCAAATCAAATCTGGTTCTCGGTGATTTGGTTCAGCTTTTTTTTCACCGGCTGAGACTCATCCGGCTCGGGTGCGACCGGCGCCGAAAGCGCGGGCGGCGAGTGGGCGGAAAGTTGGCCGGTTGCCGCGGCAGCTCCGCCGAGCCGGCGATGTAATCCGGCTTTTCACAAAGTCTAGTTGGGACGCGTTCGAGCTCGTGTTTTTCTTGTCTCCTTGTTTGTCTTTGAGTTTTAAGTTTTCCGTTGCAACCATCAGCTGTCCGACACTGGTGTCCACAGAGGTCACAAAGGTCAGTCCTGTAGGAACGAGCTTGGCTGCGTACGTGCAAACAATAAAAACTTAAGTGAGCTTTGATATTTCCTGGAGGCTGTCAATTAAAAAACGGACGGATTGCTCCACTGGTGGAAGAATGGATTTTTTTAATTAAACCTTTTTGAAGCTAATAGAATGTTTGTTAGTGCCTTTGGCCGGCGAAAAGCTTGGAGTCGCTGATAAAAAAAAACCCAACTAAATAATAAATTCTCCCGAAATGTCAAACCGCTGGTGTTATTGGGAGTAACGGAGGCGACGGTCACGGATCAAACAGCTTCTGTGCTCGGAGGTTAATTGTTATCGGGGAGTGAAGCTCTGGGTGTTTGAATAACGTACGAATCCAACGCGCTGGTTTCCTCGCAGGAGCTTCGCTGCTGTAAAGTCTCCATGTGGTTTAGTGTGATTACAAAGTGAGGCCTCAGCGCGTGCCGACGTTCAGGAACTGTTAAGGCGGCTTTGTTGGAATTATTGGGCACTTTGTGCAAAACAATCATGTTGGGGGATTATAATTACCTTTCACTGCTTCTGTCTTCACTAATTTAAAACCCTGTGAAACGGACCGTTTTATGAGAAGCTCTTAGATAATTTTTTTTTTTAAATAAGCCCTAATTGATTATTTTTTCTCGGGAAGCAAAGACGATGGTTTCTACGATGTAGAAACAGTAACACATTTAGGCTGTAACCTTTGATATAAAGAGAAGGACGTTCTTAATGTGGCAATGAAGACACCGTTTTGACTGAAAGACGGAAAAACTGCACTGAACATGATGATATAATGGAATCAGCCGCGCTCAATTTAGCAGCTTATCATGTCAAACACTTGACTTATTGTTGCCAGATGTTTATTCCCCACTTCAAGCGATACTTGAAGACAATTCCATTAAATACTTCTTAAAATCTGCTGTTGACTCCGGCAGCAGAACCAAACGCGTGGCGAGTCTTTAGCCTCCCGAGGTTCTTCGAAATTGTCGTCAAAGCGGAGGAACGCGGACGTCTTCCCGGTGTTTCGCGTCACGGCTACCCGAGAAAATCACGCCGGATGGATTGACAGGTTTCGGTATCACAGGCGGCGTGATTAAAGGCACGTCACGTGTTGTGGCGAGGCGCCCGAGCGACGCCGCTGGTGAAAAGGTGCAAACGGGCGCGTTTTCTCATGCGTTCGGAATGGACACTCTGGAAATATCAGATATCCGGCGATATCTCCTCTGTTTGTGCTGCGTGTTCTCAGTCAGTCCAGTTCTGATCAAAATAAACCCGTTCTCGGCTGTCACTCGGTTAACTTTCTGTTTTTCCTCTGATAAAAACCGGCGAGAGGAAGTGTGAAGTGGTTTGTTTGCCCACCTGTGAAAGATTAAATAAATAAGGAACCCAGAAGCTTCAAATCCTTTTTTCATCTGTTCAGATCACCAGAACGTTTCTGTGAACCTACTTACACGGGATTTTGTTCAGCTCGTTCATGAACTTGTCCTTGAGCTTGGAAAAGGCCTCGTCATTCTCGCCGGCGCCCCGGCCGGCCACGTTGGTGGTGTTGGAGCCGGCCGTGGAGGAGGAGGCGGTGGTGGGCTCGGGCGCCGCCGCCGCCAGCGCTTCCCTTCGACCCTCGGTCATTGCGGCGATGCTGGACCGAGAGACAGAGAGAGAGAGAGAGAGAGAGAGAACAAAACAAGGCGGGTTAGATGATTGACCGAGGAGAGGGCGGGGCCACCGGGGGGGGGCGGGGCCAGCTACCGGCTCAGCCCGGGTAAACATCAGCTGCGGCCCACAATCAATTGGCCGGCGCGCTGAATTGAGAACAAAGCTACTCACTCATTTCCCAAACTCGGGATTAGCATCACAGAGCCGAGATGAAATGAGTATTTATTCCTGAATCTCGGTGCAAATTCTGAAAACCAAACAAGTACAGTAAATAATGTGTCATCACTCCGTGCTCTCTGCACTCGACAGGTGTGTTTGCTCAGCATTCAGCTCCTTTGTGAAGGGAAAGGGGGAACAGGAGTGTGTGTGTGTGTGTGTGTGTGTGTGTGTGTTACTCATCATTACAGGTCGGTTGAGATATGAGACATTACTATGACACCAAAGACCAATCGGTGTGTGTTGGTTGTTGCACAAACACATGCGATGGAAGGACCAGGACAAAGAGGAGGAGGAACGCTGCAACTCGCTCGCTCCGTTTCCACCTCGGTAACAGTCGCTAGGCAGCGAAGCCACCGCGGCTCTCTGCTCAGTGATCAAAGTTCATTGTTTCTTAACTTAATGGATAATTGTTCGGCTGCTCCGCGTTGAAAGACGACATCAACAACGTGACGAGGAGACGATAGACTAATAAGCCGGTAAACGCTCTCCTTGTAGTCTCAACAACTGAGAGGAAAAATCCTCCCCTTAATCAAACAGGCTAAAGCACTATAAATGGACGCTATTCAGAATAATCAAGAGTATTTTCACCCCGAACCGATGCTCGCTGCTTCTCTGCATGAAGCAGAACTACGATATTCTGCACCGTAAGCTGCGACTTTAACACCTGGTTAACACGTATTCAGCGGCGTCTTTCTCTGTCGTCACAGTTCAAGACTCGCGGCTGCTAAAATACTTTGATGGAGGCACAAAAGAAATGCATTCGAAAGCAGAGAACTTAGCTAATGAGAATTAAACGCCGTGTGAGGAAAACCTTCTGCCGCTGTGAGTAAAGCAGCCTCCGGTTAACTCGGGCCCTCTCAGCCGAACCTTTTGTTGCACGGACGCCTACGCATAACCCCCCCCCCCCGGCGCGGTTTCCCTTTGAAAAGCTACAAGGTCAGTGTGGGGGCTGAGCCATTGAGAGGCGATGACAGAGATACGAGGACGTTGAGGGAGCACAATGGCGCCGCGCAGAGAGCACGTGGGAGGCTTCCTCTGTAGGAGTAGAATTGATCAGGCTGTGACGGGCAGGTGGGGGGTGAAAAGGGGGGGGGGGATTCACTCAATACGTCTACAGTTTAAGAAAGAGGAAAGAGCTCGACAAGCCAGTTTGATATGAAGGATGAATTCCAGCTAAGGAGAAAAACCTGGTTTCATGTCGTCAACCTTCAGTCTCTCCTCCCTCTAACTGGGTCACAGCTCGCTCGCCCTCCACCTCCTTCCATCTCCCCTCGCCTCCCTTCCTCGTCAATGGACTCCTCTCTTCCTGATCTGGGCACTTATTGACGTCCCTGATTGACAGCTCACCCCGGGGACAGAGGAGGGTTCTTGGGGGAGATCGCGTGCGTCCCCACTGGGCGCGCGGCGAAGTGATGGAGCTGCTGGAGGAAGTCGCCCAGGACCAACGCTTAAGATGTGGTCTGTCAGTGAGGACAGCAGGACACAACGGGGGCCTTTTAGCCGTGTTATTGTTCTTTGTTTTATACCATTTAATCACCAAGTAATTCGTAAAATTAAACCCATTTCATGAGGAATTATCTCCTAATAAAAACAAAATGGCGTGACAGTTGTTATGTGGCAACCTGATTCTCAAACAGAAACGTGTTTAAAACAATCAATTACAGCACATTTTAAACACACGTAAGGGAAATAGCCTGTATCTAATGGAGAGCTCAGCTCGGGATGATAAAATAAGAAGAGAAATAAAGATTAACGGAAACGGTCACGAAGCAGCTCTCAAATCATTGAACCACATTTCAAGTTTGGTTAATTGTTCCTGTCAATGACGGGAAAATAAAGCAAAATGTACCGAGTGGAAGCGGAAAAGGACAGCTCGCCATTCAGCGGCTGACGTTGAGGACTAATTCAGAGATAGCGGCTAATTCAAACGGGCTCGTTGTGGGTTTATTTTGCATTTTAAACAGGAGGAGACTAATAAAGGCGTAATTTCTTTCGTAAAGAATACGGGTCGAAGGCAGCGCAGGACTCACAAACGCTGCCGTAGTGCCAAGATCGATAGTCCGGATCAATGGGGAAGTGCTTTGATTAAACAGGCAAACAAAGACTCTTCTCTCTCGAGTCTTTAGCGAAGGCAGGAGGCAGGAATAAGTGCACGCGTTGGGTTTGAAACCAGAACCAGCGGCCCACATTCTCGTGGTAACAGTTCAACGCTAATGAAGTCGCATTACGTGCAATCCGCCGCTTTTATTTAGAGACGTTAAGCCATTCGATGGGGGAAATCATGGGAATTGCTGAAGTCAAACACCGATGTTCATCGCAGGGACGTTTTTGGTTTCTTAAGGGGACGCGGACGGGGTAATTACAATAACTGACACCGAGTAAACGAAGCAAATTAAAGCTTGTGATTGCATCCATAATAAAGTGCTGCATCAAACAATTAACACTATTTAAGTAAGTCCATGCTTTTAATGACCCTTCCGTTATCCAACCGTTGTTGTTCATGTGATCTCTGTTGAATGAACGCGGCGCTTTTGAGGAATTTCAGTTTCATGGCAGTAATGGTGAACAGTGTAACGCTGTATGGACATTTCAGAAAGAGACAAACAACAGCTTTTGGATCTCAATCTTTTCACTGGTGTATTATACAATATTATACAACCACAAAAATCCCCAAACGTCGATCCATTAGTCCCTGCCGGGGAACGAGGGAAAAATAAAAACTCCATCTCGTGAAGCCAACGTCAAATATCAAACCAATTCGGCCCAATAATTGTCCAAGAAGAAGCTCTGAAGTGTAATAACTTTGTTAAAGTGGCGAGGAGGACACGAGTTAGTGAACTGGCACGTTAATTACCGGCTGTCAATCAAGTCTTCGCCGCAGCCCGCCGGACAAACACTGGCGACGGGGCAGTATTTCCATCTTCTTTGAATGTAATGAGTCAGGGAAGTGATTTTTGAGCTGAGCCGCCTGCAGAGAACAGAGATAAGAGGAGGAGGAGGAGGGGGGAGGAGGGGGGGGTGGGACCCCCCGTGGCCCCTTGTCCAGTGCAGCCTCTTTACTCACCTGAAGCCAATCTCAGGGGTGTAATGGAACTGGAAAAAGTTATTACCCTCGCTTTGCGGCAAAGGGCATGACAGCTCTATTAAGCCAGTGCACAAAGATTCCCCCATTTTCAATTACTGCTAAAAAAAGCCCCCCAACCCCAAACACCCTGTTGTCGGCCTCAGAGACGGACTCACGCGCCTAAAATCTCAGCAGCTCCTCTCATCTCCTCTTGCTCCTCGTACGGGGAAGGTCCAACACACTCCATGAGCTGCAGGAGGACACGACACGCCTGTTTGTGTGACCGACACCGCAGAGAGGATGGAGCTGGGAGGATGGAGCAGGGAGGATGGAGCTGGGAGGATGGAGCAGGGAGGATGGAGCTGGGAGGATGGAGCAGAGAGGATGGAGCTGGGAGGATGGAGCAGGGAGGATGGAGCAGAGAGGATGGAGCAGAGAGGATGGAGCTGGGAGGATGGAGCAGGGAGGATGGAGCTGGGAGGATGGAGCAGAGAGGATGGAGCAGAGAGGATGGAGCTGGGAGGATGGAGCAGGGAGGATGGAGCAGAGAGGATGGGGAGGATGGAGCAGAGAGGATGGAGCAGAGAGGATGGAGCTGGGAGGATGGGGAGGATAGAGCAGGGAGATGGAGCTGGGAGGATGGAGCAGGGAGGATGGAGCAGAGAGGATGGAGCAGAGAGGATGGAGAGGGGAGGATGGAGCAGAGAGGATGGGGAGGATGGAGCAGAGAGGGTGGGGAGGATGGAGCAGAGAGGATGGAGAGGGGAGGATGGAGCAGAGAGGAGGGAACAGTGAGGATGGAAGAGAGGATGGAGCAGAGAGGGTGGGGAGGATGGAGCAGAGAGGATGGGGAGGATGGAGAGGGGAGGATGAAGCAGAGAGCAAGGAGCAGAGAGGATGTGGAGGATGGGGAGCAGAGAGGGTGGGGAGGATGGAGCAGAGAGGATAGGGAGGATGGAGCAGAGAGGATGGAGCAGAGAGGATGGAGCAGAGAGGGTGGGGAAGAGAAACCCGATGAGGTCGTCCATGCAGATGTTGAGTCTTGCATTTCAGCGACTATTGTTGACTTCACAGGAGAAAATAAAGGTTTCTCTTCACTTCTTTATAGAGGATTGTTTTGTTTTTTAGACTAAATCACATGATGATGATGATGATGATGATGATGATGATGATGACGATGATATTGTTGCGTGCTTAGTTGGCCCCCGAGGCAGGCGGGGGCTGCAGGGAGGTAGTCGAGGACCAGGCCCGATGCAGCGGGGCCCGGGGAGGCCTGTCCGTTGGAATCAGGCTGATGTGGGGGTTAGGTGGTGGAGGGGGGGGCTGGTAGGTGAGTCATACAGACAAAAGGGAGGCTGGTAGCTCGACCACTTCCTGAACTCAAAACACGTTTACATCCGATCGTAATTCAGAGTGACACGGATCGGAGGGCTTTACCTGCAGCAACATGGAAGAAATGGCCTCGCAGCTTGGATTTTGTTTAGCTTCCCCCCTTCAGATGATTCCTCTTCTTCTTGTTTCCGCCCACTCCTTCACGCCTCCCGCCGCAGACACCGCCGCTGACACGGTTTAATAATCCGGGAAGGGAATTCTTGCGTGGAGTTTTAAAAAGGCAGCGTCCCGTTTTAGAATACTAGGGGGTGATTGTCACCTCAAGTGGCGGTCTTCGTATTTCAAAACAACTCTTCTGCTCGCCAGCG